AAAGAAGGATAAACCAGGATGATAGTAATGATAAAAAACAATACCAAAATGCATTCTTAGGTGGTGTGGGGGTAGAGTGAAGAGGATACATGATGTTAAAGTATTCTAAGGTAATTTTCTCTGGAACTAATAAAAATTTATACTAAAATTAATTAAGTCAAATCCATATTATGCTCTTTAAAATCACCTCTAGGCTGGGCACTGTGGCTCTCACCTGTAATCCCAGCATTTTGGGAGACCAAGACAGGCAGATCACTTGAGGTCAGGAGTTCGAGATCAGCCTGGCCAACATGGTGAAACCCATCTCTACTAAAAATACAGAAATTAACCATGCATGGTGGCACACACCTGTAATCACTGCTACTCGGGAGGCTAAGGCAGGAGAATCACTTGAACCTGAAAAGTAGAGGCTGCAGTGAGCTGAGATGGCACCACTGCACTCTAGCCTGCACAACAGAGTGAGACTGTGTCTCAAAAATACAAATAAATAAGTAAATGAAATCACCTCTAAAAGAATAGTAACAGAATGTATACCTCATAATCTAGTAGAGGAATAAAATTATGGGAAAAATTACCTAATAATAGAGGGTAAAAAAGGGAAAGAAAAGAAATTTAGAATGAGTGTGACAAATAGAAATGAGATACTAGATTTAAACTAAAATATATCAGTAATTACATTAAATATAAATGAACAATAGTACTTTTTTAAAAGACAAAGATTATCCCTACAGGATTCTTTTAAGCCTAAACATATACTGTTTGCGAGAGACCTACTTTTGATATAAGGGTATCAAATGGTAAAGGAAAGAGGAGAATCCTTAACAACTCAAGGTTTTGGCATAGTAACTAAGTGGATGATTGTCTCATTCACTGAGATGGAGATGGAGCAGGTTTGTATGGGGCAAGTATGGTTTAAAAGTAATGTCTTGGACAGGTTAATTTTGAGGTGCCAACGAGTGTTGCCAAGCTGGATATAGAGGTCAAGACTAGAGATAAATATTTGAGATTCACAGGAAGACAAGTAATATTTAAAGCCATGAGACTGGATAAAGTTACCTTAGCAAGAGAGGGCCCAAGGCCACACTCTGGAGTATTTCAAACTTCAAAGCTTGTTCTGTAAATGAGAAGCCAGCAAAAGAGGGTGAAAAGGAGTGGCCAGAAGAGTGTAATGTCTTAGAAGCCAAGGAAGAAAGCATTTGAGAAGTATGAGGGGTCAACTCTGTTAAATGCTTCCAAAAAGTCAAATGGACAGAGAATTGACCTCTGAGTCTGTCAGTATATACATCATTAGTGAAGTGATGGAGATAGAAGCCCAACTGAAGGATTGAAGATCAAATAGGAGGTGAAGAGGTTAAGCCAGTGATTACAGATGATTCTTTCAATAACTTTTTCTGTAACAGAGCAGTGGGAGAAAAGAAAAGAGAGGTTAAGGAAAGAAAATTAAGATTAGTACTAGAGCATGTTTTTATGCTTATGATAAGAACTATATAGAAAAGACAGAAACTGACGATACAGGAAACTAAGACGTTTATCTCAGGAGCAAAAGTTTTGAGCAAATTACAAGGGATGGGATTGAGGGGTCACTGGGAACAGTATCCTTGGAGAGTTGCAAGGGACTGTTCTCCAATTATAACAATAGACAAAGCAGACAAAAGGTATATAGATTCCCTATAGGGTGCTACATCTAATTGAGACAAGAAAAGCAAATTCCATCTGATTGCTTTTATTCTCTCTGTGAAATGTGAGATAAGGTTATCAGTGAAGAGTAAGAGAAGGTACAAAACGTTTGAGGGAAGAAGAAAGACTTAAAGCGATAATTTGGAAAGTGAATATGGCTGGGCAGTAGAATTGGCCTGCAGTGTGACTATCGATTTGAGAACTGCAGTCATTACTTCAAAATGAGACTGGGTTTTCTTCGGCATCTGTTTGGCTGCAGGCAGAGTTGTCAGATTGTTGGCTCAAGCTTTGCCACCTCTCTTAACTATGTTTTAACCTTGTTCGCCATGTAGCTTAATGGGTAAGAACCTGAACTCTGGACCCAGATTGCCTGAGTCCAGATCCTCGTTTCACCTTTCAGTACTTATATGGCCTTGGATAAAACACCTAACAGTTCCATGCCTTGGTTCCTTCATATATAAAATGCAAAAAATAATAGCACTTATTTTATAGTTGGTTAAGTAAATTACTTAGAAATGTACCTGGTACAAAATAAGTAGGTTGTTGTATTCAGCAAATGAAAATAAAGGACACCTATTAAATTCAAATTTCAAATAAGCAATAAATAATTTTTAGTCTAAGTATGTACTATGTACTTTTACCTGGAAACCCTAAGAGTAAGCACTTAATATAGGTGGGGTTTTCTGTTCGTGTTTTATTGTTGCTGTTGCTATGGGGTCTCACTATATTATACAGGCTGATCGCGAACTCCTGGGCTCAAGCAGTCCTCCCACCTTAGCCTCTTGAGTAGCGGGGACTACAGGCATGCAGATCTGCCCTTAGCTTAAATATGTTTGCTAAATAATGAGTAACTTTTGCATCTATATTTCCAGGGCACTGGAAATCTATTGCACTGTATTACAGTTAATTGTTTCTGCACCTCTTTTCCTCAAATGAAGACTTCCTGAAGGGAGGAAACATTTTCTTTATCCCTTTATCCTCTGAACTCCATACAATAGTAGTCATTTGTAATTGTTTTATAAAACACAGAAGACAGGCAGAAAGGGGAGAGGAACTAATAAATGATGTCCTATAATGCCGCCAATGCTTTTTTCCATCCTTCTTTCTGCTTACCTCCTTAGAAGTTGCTACAAAAGATATATTTCTAGGAAAAGTTGAGGAGGGGAGAAGTCAACACTCATCACTCCTTACAGCAACAGTCCTTGGCTAGTCAGTGTCCTGGTAGGACCAGTGGTGAATTAGTAATGATCTTCCACAGACATATTTATGAATTTTTTTTTGGTGGATGGAACTGAAAATTGTGACAAAATTATAATGAAGGAAATCTTGCTTTGCAGTATATCAATAAAGTATTTTAAGGAAATAGTAAAAAAAAAAATGTGTAAGTGGAGGATGTACTCCTGCAGCACTATGGTAGGCCCTGGTACTTTCTTCCAAATATCCATTTTTCCTTTCTTCCTTATTAGCCAAGTTCTGGTTTTGCTCAGGGTGGCAATTAGACCAACTAAAAACACTTATCTTCCTAGACTTGCACATGGCCACACAGCACAGTTGTAGGTAATGAGATGCAAGCAAAAGTATACTGGATAGTACTGCCATGAAAGCTATTCTTTTCAAAATTAAAAAACGACAGTCTTGGCTAGAAACCTCCCTGGCCTTTTTTCTTTCACACTTGATCCTTCTCTACTTTGACCTCCCTGGAACAAGTTATGACTGACAAGAAGAAAATAGATAATCTAGAAACTAGAGATTTATCTGCATAATTGTCTTCACAAGTAGACATATAAAAGAGATGTTAAGAATATTTAAAAACAACTATACCCCACATTCATTCACCAAAACTTGCATCTTCAACAGTAGTTAATAAATGAAATATTAACATAAGAATAAGAAAGAATGAAGTTATAATAACTATAAACTATATTGAAATATGTTTAAGGTAAAAATTGTTATTGCTACTTACCAAAGAAACCCAGAACTTCCCCGGCTCTGAGTAAAATCCACAGAGGATGCGAGAGGGGGTTAATGGAATAAAGATTTCAGGTAATGGCTCTTCTTCCTCCTCCTCGTCCTCCTCCTCCTCTTTCTCTTCCTGAAATTCTTTTTCTCCATCTTCTCCCATCTCTGCTGCTAGCTTATTCCTCCTTTCTTCCCTTATTTTCTCCTTCAACTTCTTTTGTTTCTCTCTCTTTTCAATTTCTATTAATCTCTTTTAAAAGAAACATTAAGTAGGTATAAAAACAACTATGACTCATTTGTTCATTTACACCACTGGGGATGACCAAAAAAACAGAAAGAAGATACAGTTCTTAGAGAAACTCACAGCTCTGTTAACAGATAATGTTTAAAAATAGTCACCAATATCAGAATATATTTTTATCATTAAAACTTTTAAATCATTGGAATGACTCATTTTTGTTTTACCCCCATCAGTCTTGGTTGTACAGAGATTATTTGGTCATTTTTTTCCTAATAGAGAAGCTAAATATAGCTTCTCTTAGAGCCTATCACTGATAACCCAAGAATTAGGTAGACTGAAACAGTCCACAAGGAAAATTATTTCCAATTATAGTAATACTTTGAGTTTGGCCTTCATCATCCATCAACTGTCCTTTGCAAAAGCCCTCTGACACTGGTATTTCTACCTCCTACTTTTTACCACTTCATTCTGCTCAACTCTCAGAATTATATTTCTAGCTTTTATATCATCACATGAATCCCCTCCTCACAAACTCACAATGGATCCCAATGGTCTAAAATGAAATGCCTTGGCTGGCATTTAAGGAACCCCATGCATTGATCACAGACTCCTGCAACACTCCTCCACAAATTGCCTCTCTCTATTTTACTGATCTGTTCCTCATTTCTTGAAAACATTCAAAACTCTGCATTCTCTTGGGATGTTCTTCCAACTTTTATTGCCATCATCCTATTTTCAACTCTCAAAATTCCGCCCCCCCCTTTTTTTTTTCTTAAGACAGTGTCTCACTCTGTCACCCGGGCTGAAGTACAGTTGTGCAATCATAGCTCACTGCAGCCATAAATTCCCAGACTCAAGTGATCCTCCCATCTCAGCCTCCCAAAGTGCCGGGATTACAGGCATGAGCCAATGTGCCTGGCCCCTCCTATTCTTTAGGTACTAAATGTCACCTCCATGCAGTCATCTTTGACTTCTTCCTATCCCTCTATCAGAATCCTCTCTCTTTTCCTCTGCACACCTCTAAAATTTCCTTCTGCACATTTAGATTTCAGTATCTATTCCAATAGCTGTTTTCCTGCCAGATTATAAACTCCTTCTAATAGCTGTTTTCCTGCCATATTATAAACTCCTTAATTTCAGGGCCTATGTTTTATTCTTTTTTGTATTCCCTTAGCACTTAACACAGGATATTTTATATTCTAAGGAAAGGAAATTATTAGAAGATAATTTTTCAGGAATACTTCATACCAGAATCTTAGATTTGACACTTGAGAAATGAAAACATTTTATGCACATGTCTTTGATTTCATAGGAAACCACATCACGATCATCTACTTCTTGCTTTATGGTTGGAAGTGGAGCTTCAAGAATATAGCCATTTTCACAGAAAATTAGTAAAGTACTTTCAGGCTAAAAAAGAAAAAATAAACATTTACATTTAAGCAAATTTTTAAAAGCATAATTTAAAAAGATTATAAATTAAAAATTATAAGTATATTAGCCATATTTAAAACACAATTCAGTTATTGGTAAAAAGTCAAGTTTATTAATAATTATTATATAGTCATAAGTACCAATTATTGTTGTATCATTATTAATTAATGACATAATTATTTGATTTACATTCAGTTCCTTCATAGATGCCATAACATATGTGATTCATATATGTTTTCTGATTTTCTGATCAATATATGTGGTTGTGAAATCTGTTAGCCTAAGGGACCAAATATTAAAATTAGGACTGCCAAGGAAAGTCTGCGTGTGTGGATGCTGTAGTCAGTCTCAGTTTACTTTGATGGCTCATCCTCTATCTGCTTCAGTTCAACAAATGTGGATGTTCCCAAGGCTTTTGTACTCTTCCCTCTTCTCTCTCCCCATAAGCATTTTCTGGGAAATCTTATAGCCTTTATTACCACTTACATGCAATTAAATTTTAAATTAATCTCTACAGCCCAGACCTCTCTCTTGGCTCCAAAACCATGTATTTAATCATGAATGGGAAATTTCCATCTTTATATTTACAGATACATTATTTGAAATGTTTATTCATTTGGTTATTTCATTCTACAATTAATTTGTTGTGTACATACTAATAAAAGATCAGTCTACCAGAAAGTCATAACAATTATAAATATATATAAATTCCATCTCAGAGCACCTGAATATATAAAATAAACATTGAGAGAGATGAAGGGAGAAATATAGTAATAGTAGACTTCAATACCCACTTCTAATAATGGATACACATATAGATAGAAGATCAATAAAGAAACACGGCAAGGGCGCAGTGCCTCACATCTGTAATCCCAGCACTTTGGGAGGCCGAGGCAGGTGGATCACCAGAGGTCAGGAGTTCGAGACAAGCCTGGCCAACATGGTGATGTCTCTAACAAAAAAAAATACATATATTACCTGGGTGTGGTGTGTACCTGTAGTCCCAGTTACTGGGGTGGCTGAGGTGGGAAAATCACTTGAAGCCAGGAGGCGGAGGTTGCAGTGAGCTGAGGTCACTCCACTGCCCTCCAGCCTGAGCGAGAGAAAGCCTTCATAAGATGGACAGATACAAACAAGTCTAGACTGTGAAGACTATAATAAATATCTAACTCTTCAATGTTCAGACACAAACAAACATTCATAAACATCAAGGCCGTCCAGTTCCCAGATGGTATCTCCAGACACACCTTGGGACAGAAGGGAACCCACTCCCTTAAAGGGACGGACCCAATCCTGGCAGGATTCATCATCTGCTGACTAAAGAGCATGTGGACCCTGAATAATTAATAGTGGTGGCCTGGTAACACACACTGTGGCCCTTGGATGATACTCTGAGATAAGCTGGTTTTAGATATCACCCAGCACATTCCCAACTGTGGGGCTACAGCCTTTGCTCTTGGGCAAGACAGCAATAGTAAATTCTTCCCTATAATAATTATTTTAAATGTATATGGACTAAACTCCACAATGTAAATACATACAGAAGCTGAGTGAATAAAAAAAAAAAAAAATAAGACCTGACCAGGTGTGGTGGCTCATGCCTGTAATCCCAGCACTCTGGGAGGCTGAGGCGGGCTGATCATGAGGTCAGGAGATCGAGACCATCCCAGCCAACATGGTGAAACCCCATGGTGGCGCTTACCTGGAGTCCCAGCTACTTGGGAGGCTGAGGCAGGGGAATCACTTGAACCTAGGAGACAGAGGTTGCAGTGAACCAAGATCACACCACTGCACTCCAGCCTGATGACAGAGGAAGACTTCATCTCAGAGAATTCAAAATAGCTGTTTTGAGGAAACTCAGAGAAATTCAATATAACACAGAGAAGGAATTCAGAATCCTATTAGATAAATTTAATGAAGAGATTAAAATAATTTTAAAAATTAAGCAGAAACTTCAAGTGATATATTGAAGAATGCATCAGTGTCTTTAAGAGCAGAATTGATCAAACAGAAGAATGAATTAGTGAACTTGAAGACAGGCTATTTGAAAATACACAGTCAGAGGAGAAAAAAGAAAAAAGAATAAAAAAGAATGAAGCACACCTATGAGATCTAGAAAAGTGCCTCTAAAGGGCAAATCTAAATTATTGGCCTAAAGAGGAGGTAGAGGGATACTGATTGGAGTAGAAAGTTTATTCAAAGGGCTAACAGAAAGTTTCCCAAACCTAGAGAAAGATATCAATATTCAACTATAAGAAGGTTGTAGAACAACAAACAGATTTAACCCAAAGAAGTCTATTTCATGCCATTTAAAAATCAAAATCTGAAAGGTCAAGGATAAAGAAAGGACCCTAAAAGTAGCAGGAAAAAATAAACAATACACAATGCAGTTCCAATACTTCTGGCAGCAGACTGCTCAGTGGAAACCTTACAGGCCAGGAGAGAGTGGTATGACATATTTAAAGTGCTGAAGGAAAAAAAAAATGCTTTATCCTAGAATAGTATATCCAGTGAAAATATTTTTCAAACATGAAAGAGGAATAAAATTTTCCCAGAAAAACAAAAGCTAAGGTATTTCATCAACACCAGACCTGTCCAACTACAAATGTTAAAGGGAGCTCTTCAACCTGAAAGAAAAGGATGTGAATGAGCAATAAGAAATCATCTGATGAAAAACTCTGTAGTAATAAATACACAGAATTTTATAACACTGTAATTGCAGTATGTAAACTATTCATATCTTAAGTAGAAAGAGTAAAAGATAAACCAACCAAAATTAATAACTTCAATTTTTCAAGATAGAGACAGTACGGTAAGATATAAACAGAAACAACAGGAAGTTTAAAAGGTTATGAAATTGAAGTATAGAGTTTTTATTCGTTTTCTTTTTGCTTGTTAGTTTGTTTGTAAAATCAGTATTGTCATCAGTTTAAAATAACAGGTTATAAGATATTATTTGCAATCCTGATGGTAACCTCAATGAAAAAAACATACAATGGATACACAAGAAATTTAAATCATACCACCAGAGAAAATCACCCTCACCTAAAAGATAGCTAAGAAGAAAGGAAAGAACAAAGAGAAGACCACAACTCAATCAGAAAACAAGTAACAAAATGGCTAGAGTAAGTTCTTACATATCAACAATAACATCGAATGTCAATGGACTAAACTCTCCCAAAAGAAGAAATGAGGTGACTGAATGGATTTAGAAAACAAGACTCAGTGACTTATTGCCTGCAAGAAACACACCTCATCTATAAAGACATAGATAGACTGAAAGTAAAGGAACAAAAAGATATTCCATGCAAATGGAAATCAAAATGGAGTAGAAATAATTAACTTATGTCAGACAAAAAAAGATTTTAATACAAAGAAGGTCACTATATAATGATAAAGGGGTCAATTCAGTAAAAGGATATAACAGTTGTAAATATATATATACCAATGCTGGAAAACCCAGATATATAAACCAAGTATTATTAGAGCTAAAGAGAGAGATCAACCCCAATACGATAATAGCTGGAGATGCCAACACCCCACTGTCAGCATTGAACAGATCATCCAGGCAGAAATTGAACAAAGAAACACTGGACTTAATCTGCACTATAGACTAAATGGACCTAACAGATATTTACAGAACTTTTTATCCAATGGCTGTAAAATACACATTATTCTCCTCAGCATATGGATATTTCTCAAGAACAGACTATACGTTGGTCTACAAAACAAGTCTTAAAACATTACAATAAAATGAAATTATATCAAGTATCTTCTCTGACCACAATGGAATAAAACTAGAAATTAATAAAAAGGAATTTTGGAAACTACATAAACTCACAGGAATTAAACAATAAGTTCCTGAATGACCAGTGGGTCAATGAAGAAATTAAGAAGAAAATTTAAAAATTTCTTGAAACAAATGACAGTGGAAACACAACATATCAAAACCTATGGGATACAGTGAAAGCAGTACTAAGAGAAAAGTTTACAGCTATAAGCAACTACATCAAAAAGAGAAAAACTTCAAATAACTAATGATGCATCTTAAAGAGCTAAAAAAGCAAGAGCAAATCAAAACCAAAATTAGTAGAAAAAAAATAAATAAAAAAGATCAGAACAAAATTAAATGAAATTGAGAGAAAGCAATACAAAAGATCAAATTTAAAAGTTGGTTTTTTCAAAAGATAAATTAACAAACCTTTAACCAGACTAAGAAAAAAGGAAGAGAATACTAAAATATAAGAAATCAAAGATGAAAAAGGGGACATTACAACAGATACCACAGAAATTCAAAAGATCATTAGAGGCTACTATGAGCAATGGTATGCCAATAAATTTTAAAACCTTGAATGGTGAAATTCCTAGGCACATACAACCTACCAAGACTGAACCATGAAAAAATTCAAAACCTGAACAGACCAATTACGAGCAATGAGACCAAAACCATGATTTNAAAAAAAAAAAAAGTCTCCCAGCAAAGAAAAGCCTGGGACCCAATGGCTTCACTGTTGAATTCTACCAAACATTTAATGAATACCAATCCTGCTCAAACTATTACAAAAAATGAGGAGGAGGGAATACTTCCAAACTCACTCAGCGAGGCCAGTACTACCCTAATACCAAAGCCAGACAAAGGCAGATCAAACAAAAGAAAACTATAGGCCAGTATCACTGATGAATACTGATGTAAAACCTTAAGAAAATACTAGAAAACTGAATTCAACAATACATTAAAAAGATAATTCATCATGGCCAAGTAGGATATATCCCAGGGATGCAAGGATGGTTTAACATATGCAAATGAATCACTGTGATACATCAAATCATTAGAATGAAGGACAAAAATCAAATGATCATTTCAATTGATGCTGAAAAATTACTTGATACAATTCAACATCCCATCATAATGAAAACTCTCAAAAAAACTGGGTAGAGAAGGAACATACCTCAACACAATAAAACTTATATATGAT